TATCTATCTATCTATCTATCTATCTATCTATCTATCTATCTATCTATCTATCTATCTATCGTTTGTTTGTTTTTTAAATTAGATTCTTTACCATTAAATTGTCTATGTTATGGTAATGTGTGTTGTGATTGTGATGCATTGTGGGAGACACTCGAAAACAAGGTGGTACATTTCAAGGGGTTAATTCCAATAAATAAAACGTAAACAAAGGTTGCTCTCACCATAAAACATATTTTATTAGCATGTGAAAGAACCATTGGAAAAGATTTTTATAATGAAAACACGGATGTTTTTAGGGTGCACTCACAGTATGCTATCTGAAGCGTGCCCGGCGCATTTTCTGGTTCGTTTGACAAGTGTGAGTGTTCTGAATCAGGCCCAGGCGCGCTTCAGTTAGCTGGACCTGGCCCAATTGGAAGAGGTGTGCCAGAGCGAGGCGAGGTTGGGTTTTGGTGAGGTAAGCTTGTAGTGTAAGCGCAGAGTGCGCCTGAGCGTGAAACTGAAGATGCGCAACACTTTCCTATGGATTTATTAATCATACTTACTGTTCATTAAACATGAACTACTGTCATAGTTTATTAAAAACACAAACCCCTCGCTGCACCTTTAACAAACCTCCTAACACCTGCAGCACGAGGACTTTATGATCATTTATGAGTGTCAAAAGTGGCTAACGATCTAACTAACGAAATCTCCTCGGTGCTGAGCGAGAGCGCTTCTCTTCCTGTTAAGCCTTATTCACACTACAAGCGATTTGCAGCAGCAAAGCGGCGGGCGACCACTCATTTCAATGGAAAGCGAGCAACTTCCGGCGACGTCCATCTGTGCAAGCGACCGTTGTGAGCAGGTGGGCGTGTCTAGCGACGCGACAAAGTTGAGATTTATTCAACTTTATGCAAATGAAGAGCGACTTTCTTGAGCGACAGCCAATAGGAGCAGCAGTAGAGCTCACGTGATCCTCTCGCAGTTCGCTCAGAGTCCGATTGTATTCGTGCTGTATATACCTACACACCTCTGCGTTTGAAGCAGGTCGCCACCCAGAGCGACAGGCAGCTATTAAGTCACTGCTAGTGTGAATGCGGCACTAAACTGAACATTCATATCATCAGTGACTACATTAACATGGACATCAGTAATTATTTGCCTTAATCTAATTAAGATAATTAGAAGATTAAGGTGTTTACATGAGTTGCTTTTTGGATGTTTCCTTCATGATCCCATTTTACATGTTATAGCACATACTTGGATTAATGCCATTGCGTCACCGCGCTATCAACATTTCCTAACTACTGCCATTTCCCTTAACTTGGCTAAAAATGAGGTCTAATATCCCTTTTTATTTTCACTATCCACTCAAAACTGACCTTCGGGTCACTCGGAGGACGGTAAAATTATATATTTGTGTTGCTTTCTCTTCGCTGATAAGATATACAGCCATGTGTGCCGTTCCTGCAGGCGATACTTTCGGGTTTCCTCCCACTGCAGCCTCGCTTTCGCTTTTAAAATGGCGGCCACATGAAATCAGTCCATAGCCGTAAGCAAGGGCATAGGTTTGCGCTTCGACATTGGTGGGGACGAGTCACCCCCGCCAAGAATGAATATTGTTTATATA